CAGCTCGCGGTATACTGAGACGCCGCAGCTGAAGCGGATCCCGACAATTATGTCTGGATCCACCCAGCTGCGTGAGTGATAGCTGGCTCTGCCTATCTAGAGGCAGAGCCAGCTGTACCTGCCTCTCCCCCATCCGTTACACCAGTCAGCGCTGGCGGAGCAGGGAGGGGGGAATCCAGCCCCACCCATCACGGCAGAGAGCCGTGACAGGATCGAGAAGAGAGCAAACGCCGGTATGTGTTCGCTCACCTCCCGATCTACTGAGCCGACCTGTGACAGTCTTATTGTCACAGATCGGCTAGAACTATGAGGTGAGTGAAAATCACTCACCTCATAGTTCTCCTTTAGGCTGTGGTTCCCACCTAGGTGTTCGAAATATGCGTGTATGACGCGTGTTTTGGGGTGCATGTTTTAACCGCGATTTGCAGCCCTCAAAACGCGTGTCAAATGCGCGTTTACGAGGGCTATCCGGCTGTATCCTAATAGATACGCGCGGGCGTAGGGTGTTTTTCAGCACGTTCCGACGCGCTGAAATACGCCCAAGTGAGAACCATGCCCATAGGAAATAATGGGATTTCATTTGCTGGGCGTTTTTACAGCGCGTCGATCAGCGCTGTAAAACGCCCAGGTGTGAACCCAGCCTTAATGGCTCTAAAATTATTGCTCTCACAACGACGTTTGTGGCAATATGCAACATGTGCGGCACATAGGCGCACCGACGCATATATGCGTGTGTATGTGGGGGGCGGGGACTTTAAAAAAAATTTTTTACAAAATTGTTTATGCTTTATTTTTTTTTAATGAATCTTTCATTTTTGTATATTAACCGCGATTTGCAGCCCTCAAAACGCGTGTCAAATGCGCGTTTACGAGGGCTATCCGGCTGTATCCTAATAGATACGCGCGGGCGTAGGGTGTTTTTCAGCACGTTCCGACGCGCTGAAATACGCCCAAGTGAGAACCATGCCCATAGGAAATAATGGGATTTCATTTGCTGGGCGTTTTTACAGCGCGTCGATCAGCGCTGTAAAACGCCCAGGTGTGAACCCAGCCTTAATGGCTCTAAAATTATTGCTCTCACAACGACGTTTGTGGCAATATGCAACATGTGCGGCACATAGGCGCACCGACGCATATATGCGTGTGTATGTGGGGGGCGGGGACTTTAAAAAAAATTTTTTACAAAATTGTTTATGCTTTATTTTTTTTTAATGAATCTTTCATTTTTGTATTACTTTTTTTTTTTTGCACACACACACAACCTTATTGCTATTACATGGGGGGCTAAGAAGCC